TCGGATATCAGGGGCTTTACTCAGTTAGATGTATTCTCAGGCACTCAAACTGCTTGTGCAGCATTTCCATCTGTGCGGCGTGACACCATGCTTAAATCAGCAGGTGTTCTCCCTTTTGGCAGGCTGGCAAGTCCTGTACTAAAGACTACAGCTTGTGTTTCTCTGTGCTGTATTAAACATATTCCAGTTCTTCCTTTGAGTGCGGGGTATGACTTACTTCATGATGCTTTAAGTTAACGTGCAGCTTTTTAAAGATGTTACACAACTGCTGTGCTATTTTGGTGTGAATGGAATTCACATCTCTAGGCAGCTGCTAAGAATGTAACCAATTACTGGTAAAAGGATCCTTTGCAAGACTGTGGATGAGCCGGATGTGACTTTAGTCCCTCAGTATTTAATGCAGACTGGTACAGGCAAGCCCTGGACTTGGAGAGCTGCTGCAATCCAGTTACAGCCCCCCCCCCGAATCACCTGTTATTTAATGATTAGGGACATTTGTTTAAGCAATTAACCAATTTAGCAAGAAATGTTTCAAAGAATGAAAGCCTGGTGCTTGAAATGATGAAAACTATTCTGACTGCTGGAATGGGCTCTGGCTGCCCTTTGACCCTGTATGGGAAGAAGCAATTAGAAAATGGATGGATGATATCTGATTGCTTAATTGAACAAACCACCAGTTTGATTGATCAAAGTTAATTTGTTTAATTAGCTATAAAACCTGCAGGACTGGGGCCCTCTAAGACAAGGATTCAAACCTTAGAATTAATACTAACCCTTCACGGAAAGCATCTGTAATATGCACATTTTCCGCTAGGAGAAGACAATTTAACTTCTAAAAAAATTAGGAAAACTGGAAAAGTATGTAATACAGGGTTTGTCCACTAGATGGAGACGAAATGTTATTTATAACAACTTTGTAATCTCCCTCCCCCCCCTCCCAAAAGCATGCAGTACTCGGGTTCTGAATTAACGCACTTGTTTCCTCTTCAGGGTAACGATCAGATTCGGTTTGAGCTGACCTGCTACGCACTCTACCCAGAAGTCAAGGTAGGATCTTCTGTATCAAGTTCTGTGAAATTTCTCGAGTTAAATAGACTTTGTAACTCCAATGTTAATGAATACTTAGTTCTCAGGCATTAAATTGGTTATAAATTGGCAGTAAAGGGTAATCAAGGGACAAAGTATATATATATGCACATTGATAAATGCTATGAGTGATCTATTTGGAAGCTTGGATTTGCAACATCTCTGTAACATCTTAGAGAATGTATTTTTTATGTTTACTAAATATACATGTACATGGAGGTGTGAAAGTCCTTCCTTTGGAAATACGGGGCTGTATTATGAGAGGTTGAACCTTTTTGTGTTCAAACTGCTTAGCTGCTTATTTTGTGAGAGGCCAAATGATGTAGAGTTCGGGTTTAACAGCATGTTATTATTTATTTATTTTTTACTCCTTAAAGTGTTGTGATAAATTTCTTTCTCCGAATGCTAGTTATGTCACTTTTTTAAATATCCGTATTAATTTTGCATGCTATTGGGTGGAATACCTTGATTTTTTTTCCCCCATTTTGCAGAGCAGTTGCTCCGTGACACTCAAGCCCTTGTAGGAGACTCTATAGAGCTTCTTTTCTCCTTACTCTCTTCCAGAAGACTATTAAGATACAATATTGTTGAAGCAGTAAACTATAAATGTTACTGACTTTTTCTAAAATGGTGCTTTAAATCAGTCCTAAAAAGCCGTGTTCCATCTCATGCTATAGTCTTATAAAATCAAGACTTTAAGTGTACATTTTCCAAAAGCAACTCAATTTAATCTTGAGTGTGCAGCAAATACAGTATTTATTCAAGCCACTGGTCAGAATTGTTAGACGATGTGGATTGATGCTAACTGCCATACAAACTGGAATTCATCTCTCTAATGTGGCTTGCCCTTTCTGATTCAGCAAAGTGCATTGTAACATTGTTTTACGAGATAAACCTGTTCAAAGTTTAACTCTAGTGTTTCAGTCAGATATTCTAACTCACTCCTGCTTTTATCCAGTGAGCACAGGAGATCACACTGCAGCAATCCAGTGAGTTAACATGGCTGTGTTCCATTTGTTCTCCCCCTTAAATGTAGATCATTGCTCCTTGGAGGATCCCGGAGTTCTATAATCGGTTCAAGGGCAGGAAAGATCTAATGGACTTTGCACAGGTAAAGGTCTTCTTCATCTGCTCGATCGTTTTGAGGTGGCAGAACCCGGCACTGCCACAATCACTTGTTAGTTTGGTGGTGGTTGTTCTGAAGAAGGTGTCAAAGTTATGATCAAGTGCTGCTCTTTTAAGATGTCTTTTAAGATGCTCAACATGTATGGTAGAAGCAGCAGCAAAAAAGGTGTGAGATTTGCTGTCAAATTCTCCCATAATGTGATGACTGTTAAAAGTTGTTTTCCATGGATTTATCTATAAGCACCACACTTGCATTACTTGACTGGCGCTGGATATAAGAATTGTTTTACATTTTCAAGTTAGCAGATAGATTACTGAAGCCAATACACTTCAAAACTGGGGAAACCTTTTTGATATGTTGGCGATCAACTTGATATGTACTGTATATATACACCTGCCATTCTGCAATTTATCAGATGGGATTAACTTGCTACCTCTATTTGAGATTTCACATCTCATCTCCTTCATTCATTGTTCTGTAACAAGATGTTTTCTAAGCATTTGACCTCTGAGGTAGGCCTTTTCAGAATCTGAATTTTTTCCCCCCCAAAGTGGAGTTTTTCTGCTTTCCCTGTGTGTTTCACTAGAGGGCGGTCATGTAGTTTCACAGCTGTCATGCTTCAGTTGTTGTATCTGGTTGTACGGGCACAATCTTGGCACTGAGCATTGAATATAGCTGCTTCTTGAACTCCTAATGGAAAAGTGATTCAAATGCAGCTGTGATAAGTAGACTCTAAATACAATAAGCTATAGATGAACTCACTCTATCCCTATATACTGTTCTTTGCAAAAGGAGAGCATCACATCCTCAAGGAACTTATAAGTGACTCTGAGCATTACAATAAAGAAGAATAAAGAAATTCTGCTCACCACTGTAGATAGTGTGTCCAGATATTTGAGTGGTTGAATTCTGTTCATCAATACAATGTATAATGATTTATGTTTTAAGAAATAGTAGTACCTACTTTTCCCTAGGTTCTGTAAAAGTGCACCCATCTGTCAATTCTTATAAAAGAACTTTCCAAGAGGTTAGATGCAAAAGAATGACTGGAGGTACAGTCTCATGAAAAATGAATTCTCAACCCAGGAACCCTTCATTTAAAACCATTAAAAAAACTTACAAATTGTCACGTTACCCCCGTCAGGACACAAGTTAACTTCCACACCACTCATCAGTGAACCACATCTGTTTTATTGCCTTTCTCTGATGTGTCCCGACCCAAGCAGTTTAAGAAAGTCCATTGGAGCAATATGAGAAAACCGGTTTTCTCATCAAGAGGCTTTTGGTTAGAAAAATAAAACAAGACTTTTGATTTGTAAGAAATTGATGGAACTTTGAAACAGCAATTTAATTCATTCTCTCGTTTTCCCTTGTTATAATGGACTGTGCATTTTCAATCGTTCAATCGTTCATTCGCTCTGACCAGTTTAGATAATCGGCGGTTGGAAATCTAACAGAAAGGACGTAATGTGCATTTGGCTTTCTAATACTTCGTGCCTGTATGTTTTTTGATGAGGCACTGAAATCAAGGGTTCAAGCCATCAGTTGTGCAAGGCTCATTACAGCACAAGATCAAAACACTTGATGCCCCATTGCCTTTGAGTGAAATGGGATAATTATTGGGGTGTGTGTCTGGCTTGTTCCATCATTAAAGACCCCAGTCTGGCCTATCGTGCCCTGGTGCTGTCGGTAATAGGGTGTGTGTGGGGGGAGTTATAATTCAGAATGGGTTAAACTCTCCAGGTGGATAGACATAGGGGACTGTCTTTTCATCTCTTGCTTTCAAATGACGATATTGTATGTGGGATTATGCGTGTCCATTTAAGATGTCTTGCAATCATTTGACCCCCTGCTGAGACAGTGGAAGGGTTGTTTTTTTCAGCCTTTTGCTTTTCCTTACAGCCAGTCTGCACTGAATCTCTGCAATACCCCCCCCCAAACACACACACACACTCGCCCCCAACACTGTTAAACCCTGTAGTTGTAATATAAAAAATATCTGGAAGGAAAATCCTGTTATTGTGACGCCTTAAAACAACAGACACTGTTTCATTTTCACACTGGCAGCTTGTCACCAACTGGAAAGTTGAAAGCCTTCATTGAAGGACTTTAAACTATCTAAAAAAGCCAGAGGCCACTTTTCTCCTGTTCTGAAATGTTTTCTCGCAGAGCCCCCCCTTCACAATAGTTGCTGTAAACAACCTTTGTAACACCGGCTGTTTTTGTGTTGCAAAAGTAAAAGGGATTCAAAGTTTTTAAGCTGAGGGCGTGGCAGAATGAAGAATAAATGGACACGAGAGCACAGTCTGTCAGAGCAAACTGTACCGGACACCAGGAATGACAACCCAGGGAGACAGAATCAGGAGAAAATACAGGTGACAGAACCCGTGACTGTGGCCAATAGCCTACGTCACTGGGAAAAAAAACTCTGTTCTCTCCTGGCCAATACAGTATGTTGAGAATTTAACCACGGAAACGCTTACTGTCCATCTGTTCCTTGGGCAGACAGCTTTATCCAAAGCAGCTTGCAACATGGTCAACATGCAAACAGTGTTGCAAACAGGCAACAGTAACCACAAAAAGCACCGTGGCGATAAAGTGGCAGGATGTTGCGCAGTGGAGCAGCGTTGTGGCACAGCGGTTGGCATTGTCGCCTCGCACCGCTATGGCCTTGCGTGCAGTTCTTGACCTTTGGCGATATCCGCGTTGGGTTCTCCCCCATGCTCGTGTGGGTTTCCTCCGGCCATCCGATCTCCTCCCCCAGTCCAAAACATGATCGCCTTCTTAGCTTTCGAGAAAATTGGCCCTGCCGTGAGCGTGGGCAAATCTGTGTTTGTCTCCGTCTGCCCTGTGACGGACGGGCGTCCTGTCCAGGGTGTGTCCTGCCTCATGCCCATTGCTTGCTGGGATAGGCTGACCCTGACTCTGCAGAAGTGGTTAGAAACTGGACGGATGGGTGGCTGTTGCACAGTGCTGAAGAGTTTCAGTGCTGCTTGACAAACAGGAAGCACTGTAGTAATCTAAGGGCATGGTTGGTAAAGTAGTGCTACTGAGGGGCCTCAGGGGTTAGCTACTGCATATCCCAAAGAGGTGGGCTTTCAGATTCTTCGGAGTCTGAGGTTCTGGCTGGATTAACATGCTGGGCATCGGCAATCCGCAAGAACAGTCTGTGCAATGTACCAGTTTTCTTCAGTTGTGAAGAGGACTGAGAGCTGGAGGATTGTATAGGCCGGGGCAGGTGATGGAGAGCTGTCTCATGCCCCACACGTCCACCACATGTTGCCCACAGCCCCTTTATTCACTGTGGGTTCCTAATATTTTGGCCATTAAGTGGTATATCGCACTCCTGTCCACTTACACATATTTTTGAAATTCAACTTGACAAAAAAGCTTTGAAGGCTGTGTGTTGCCTCTATAGCGGAAATAGTGAGCTGTGTTTCTTCAAGCCTTTGTCATTAACGCTTGCCACTCCATTTCAGTGTAAGTGTAATGCTGTGTATCCTATATTGGCTGTATCACATTATGGAACTCGGTGTTTATTCGTTAGAAAATAGAAACTGATCATTTCTGTCTGAAACCAAAGACGCATTCCAGTTTGCCTGTGGCTCCACGCGGCGCCCACGGAGACGGCCTCACCCCTAGCTACATGCTGGACAGCATAGTGAGAGAGAGGAAGACATTATCAAGTCATAAGAAATGTAATGATAAAGGAAGCTCTCCACGTAAAACCTTAATACACTGTGTGTGCTTGAAAGTGGAAGTGCAGCCACATTAGCAACGGTAACATATACTTACCAGGACGTTAATGGTAGTGTCTTGATGCAGTTGAAATTTCTCTGTTATATTAACATTTTTTTTCTCAAAGTATTCAGTGTGTTTATATATATATAGCGAACTACTTTATGAATTCTATCCATAATCCAAAAGTAAGGCCTGTCAGGTTGTCAGCGGTGAAGACTTCGGTGTTTCAGATTTCTCACTTGCTGTAAATGCGGCAAAGAGCATTTCTGCTTTGGGAGGAAACGGGAAGCCTTTCCCGTCCCGAGCACCTGTGGAAGTCCTCTGTTGTGGCTCACAGGGGAAGAATCGGGCAGCCCCCGGACTGTGACGGGCCTGTGTGTTCAGCTACAGCAGTAAAATCAGATCGGGCTTCTTGCTGTAGATAACGTGCTGCGTGTTACTGCGGTCCGGTTTGTGATTCTCTGAATAAAATCTGGTTGGTAAAGTGTGATGGGGATAGATCTCTTGTTATTGATGCTGAAGGGTGCCGATTGTCTTGAACTGGGAGGGGTTGCTTACCCCTTATCCATCACGTTCAGCACCTCCACTCTCCAGAGGTTTACCCTCTCCAGCCCGTACCCTGGGGGCTCGAGGGGAACAGAATTGGTCTCCGAAGGAAACATATTAGCCCATAAACAAATAATTTGGAGAGAGTCCCACCCGGGCAGACAATGGTCGGTGTGAAAAGGGAGAAGGGTGGGGGGGGGGAACCATTGATCACTGAGCACTCGTTTCCTTTTCTCCAGGCAGGACCCTGCCGTGGGGGCACACGCCTCACTGCTCCATAAAACGCAATGCTCCCCACTCTCACCCCCCCATCACCCCATTCCCTCCCTTTATCACACAGCTGGCAAGGAGCCCCAGGGGCGATCGGCTACGTTTGTGGGCACAACTGATAAATGAGAGCCTTCCATTCCAAACCAGCAGTTCTTTTGTCCTGCTCCTAAATGCATTTATTAGTCAGCAACGGCAAGCCTGTCCACTGATAAGATGTCAAAGATAAGCTAAGGCAGGAGAAACTTTTTAACCAGGCAGAGAAGTGAATGAATCCCTGTGGTAATGAGGGAGTAAATCTGTAGGTTCATCGCTCAGTAGGTTAGAAACATCCGACAGGTTTGTGTCATGTGTGCTTCTGCTCTGCAGTGACCTTATTCTTAAAGTATAGTACTGATGCGTTGTAGGTTAATGCGTCAGTAAGTAAATTGTCTGAACAGAGTCCAGGTAGTAGTAAGCCTTTGCTTTTATTAGGTCTATTGGTATATGAAGTTATGAAGCAATATGCAATATGCAATGTTGTATTACAGTTGGTTATGTGCTTGAGGATTGAAAACTTGAAAAAACCCTGCTCACACCGAATGTTAAATCAGGTCAACTATGAAGGGCATGCGATTCTCTCATTTCCCCTGGCGAACGAGCCGTTTAGTTGTATTTTGATCGATCCGATATTTCATTTAAGACTTCTGTCTTCCTTGCACCTCATTGTAAGTTCTGTGTTTCCCCCAGAAACATGGAATCTCTGTGCCTGTAACTCCTAAAGCACCCTGGAGCATGGACGCCAACTTGATGCACATCAGGTAAGGAGGACACGTTTCCAGTGCCTGCGCTGATGTGAAGTATCTTAAACAAAAAAGTTTGGACGCTTTTTCATTCTAAATTCGAGCCGCTTTTAGTATAGACCATGATCTGGCACATAACCTGTTTTTTACTGGATTGAGGCATCCAAAGGCCTGCTTTTTTGCACAGTAAAGTAAAATGGGACCGTAGGTGACTTAAGTGGTAGTTTGAAGTTGGTGTTGGAGCTCAGTGGACGAGGAGGACGAAAGGGGGGTTTGTGAGTCTATGAACTGATAAACCCCTGTATTTATCAAGTTTTCTGACCATGTGGTGACTGGCAAACATCTCATTTGATCCACATATTTCTAAGATGACAGACCTGATTAAACAGGCAATAGGGACCAGTAGCACGATCTGCGTAATACTCTGAGGGATCTCCAAATCACATCGAGTCGGTTTTGTAATGCTTTCAGACCGTATTCGTGCTCTGATCGTGTCAACTTTTTTTTTTTTAACAAGTTTGCTCTTTTCTTCTTTGTCACCAGCTATGAATCTGGAATTCTGGAAAATCCCAAGGTAACGTGTCCCCTGCTTTGTTTTTTGTGCAGCACCAACGTTTGCCAGCACTGTATGTCCCTTCCTGGGCTATACTGTGCTTCGTATCGAACTTTATCCTCCATCTCTACGCCTCACTCTGCTTGAGCTACTCTTTTTTTGATACTTCTGCTGTGCTTTTAGCCTTTAAACAGATATATCAGCGCAGTAAACCTTGCTTACAGGCAGGGAGATGCCACTGGCCTTGAGTTGATTCTCACTGTGTGAGGCCTCCTGCTGCCTGGCCAGAGCTAATCTGTGTTCGAGAGCTCAATGCACATTGTGCCAGCAGTTGGCAGTCA